GTGTCGTTGCTTGCTCCGATGTTAACTGGGAAGAAAATTGCGATGCTGTGAAGAAGTCTGTCTTTGAGTAGTGGGCACAGCTGAGGAGTCTCAGCGCTTTGTGAAGCCGAGCCCTAGATATCCCGTGGAAACGGAGCATGGAGCGGGAGTTGGGAGGCTTGTCTCGGCTGGGTTTCACGACACGCAGTATATCGTTAGGGGTAGATTATCGTGAGTACTTGTAGATGGCACCAATGGGCAAAGAGATGATTTCAAACTCCGTAATTTCCTAGTGGAAGAATGAGCTGGAGTGCTCCATCAGTTACCGTGAAAGCTCCTGTTTTGTCTGTCCACTACACAGGCTGTAAGATTCCTTTTTTTTTCACTTACATTTCAATATAAATAAATGTTGCATTGCAGCTTTTGATGGAGACAGCTGGCGACTGTAGCAAGCCACATGCCAGAGTGCGTCGAAATCCTGTGGCACACCTGCGAGATGTAGAACCCCGTGTGGCAAAGCAGCGCTTACCACGGGCACGCCGCCGGGCTACGCTGGCAAGGCTCATCAGCGGCTTGCGGGAAGCTGTTTCATCCCGGTCAGAAAACTCATCCTCAAAGGTGCGGAGCAGCCACTATATTTGTCTATGTGTTGCTATTATACATTCGGGATGTTCAAATTTAACCAGGTTTACTAGGATGACCGCTGTATCTTTATGGGTGCCAGTGTGTGTGCATGATTTCACTGTGTGCAGCTTTTCTGGATCCCTTTAAAGCTGCCAGCTCAGCGTGAGCAAATTGTTCACTTTGTAGTCTCTGGGTCATGGGTTTATCATGTGCCTTATCTGCACTTTTCTTACAGGGTTTTTGCAGCCTCTTTATAGCTTTGCCGCTTCTTTATAGTGTTTTGGAAACAAACCAAGGGATCCCATGATGAAATTATCTTGATTTCACAGCATTGTGCTATGAAATCAGAATGCTGTGTTTAGGAACAGAAGAAGTTATAAGGGAGGGAGTAATTCATTCAGCGTTATGAGGTACACTCTGTCTTCAAGACACTCTGGAAAAACAAGTCAGGGGAAAAAAAAACCCACCAGTACTATTTATTGGCCTCTACTAAACTAAGAAACTAATCAAACCAAAATTGTTTATCAAGATGAGATTGACCTAAAATACTACTGAAAAGATGGATATTACCATGCTTAAAGCAAAGGCAAAAACTTCGGGCGTCCTTTTATCCTCAAAACTGCCACCAGTTCATTTAGCTGGATTGATTACTTCCAGTTTTCTGATGTATAAAATCATAGAATCATAGAATTGTTGGGTTGGGAAGGGCCCTTAAAGCCCATCCAGTTCCACCCCCCCTGCCATGGGCAGGGACACCTTCCACTAGACCAGGTTGCTCAAAGCCTCATCCAGCCTGGCCTTGAACACTTCCAGGGATGGGGCATCCACAGCTTCTCTGGGCAACCTGTTCCAGTGCCTCACCACCCTCTCAGGGACGATCTTCTTCCTGATAGCCAATCTAACCCTCCCCACTTTCAATTTAACCCCGTTACCCCTTGTCCTGTCACTACAGGCCCTTGTAAAAAGCCCCCCCCCAGCTTCCTTGTAGCCCCTTCAGGTACTGGAAGGGGCTGTAAGGTCTCCCCGGAGCCTTCTCTTCTCCAGGCTGAACAAGCCCAACTCTCTCAGCCTGTCCCCATAGCAGAGGTGCTCCAGCCCTCTGAGCATCTTCATGGCTTCTTCTGGAGAGGGTAATGACTGTTTAGGGCAGAAATTGTCCTTGTAAAGGGCTTTGAGGCTCTGAACATGCAAAATACTCAAAAAACTCTCACGCAGTTTGAGGTAAGATTTTAGTTTGCTCTGTCTGAACAAGATGCAAGTTAAGCTGAAGTCACCATTATCTCAGAAGCCAAGACTAAACGGACACTTGTTGTGTCTAGCCTAAGCGAACTATCTTCACATACCTCATGTGACCCTTGTGTGACTTTTAGGGGCCAAGGATGTTCAGTATCTTCAGGAGACAAAATAGAAACATTCATATGTAATCCTAGTGCTTCGTGTCTGGCTAAAATGAAAGCTCTGCAAGGCAGACATCCTGTCTGAGGTGACTGTGGATGGTCTCACCCATCACATAAATCTTGAAGTATTTTTGAGTATGTTTAAATGCGTTTGCCATATGTTCTCAGTTGTGCTTTCTGTAAATAATGGAGTGATGTGCAGCGCTTGTTACTCCTGTTTACATCAGCACAGCTGAGAACAGAACATGGCAAAGGCTTCTCCTAGCAAAATTCTCACGAGAAATGATTAGTAAAGTCTTATGCCTAAAATTGGTAGACATCCAACAAGACTGCACAGCATGGTATTTCTGGACATGCTCCAAGAGAACGATCCAAACAAGACCAGAGTTGCAGATGAAAGATGATCAGAGATAAGTAGCAAATATCTATGTGACTGCATGTTACACGTATGTACTGTGTAACATATATCCAAATATTTATATTCTATATTTAAGTTTGCCCTGGTATTCCCTTTTTGTATGGGTAAGGGTAGCTGGTGAAACAACACAGTTGTTTTCATAGGGACACTGAGAAATAATGGAAGGTCAAAAGGAAGGAAAAGTGAAGAAAACAAGCAAAGCTTGTTAAAACGTGAATCTAGTCAGAGCAGAGAGCAATCACTTCTGATTTCTTCTTGTGTTTAGCATCAGGTTTTGCGTAAGGCTAAGAAATCTATCCGGAAGCTGGAGCAAACCTTGGGGTCTTTGCTGAAGATGAAAGGTACTGTATGCAAGTATTTGCCTTGGATAGAGTGCCTGGACTTGGTTTTGCTTTGTTAAATAGAGACAGATGGGCATGCGGCTGAGCCCATCAAAGCATCAGAGCTGTGGCTTTAGTTGTAGCAGTAAGCAAGGGACAGCATAAAAATCTGTTGACCCACTAGGTGCTGCACCTTAGAAATCCCCCTCTGACTCTCCGTTGTTCCTACCCCCTCCCCAGCTTAGGCGACGGAAGGAAACAAGT